TGTGGAACTACTGGAGATCAATTTTTGGAATCTTTTTATCAAAGTTTAAAGAAGAATGCTCAAGTCAAGTGTAGTAAGGGCATGCTATTCCCCATCAGTCAGAATGCCCCCATCCCCACTGAGAAACGTGTAATTTAGGCAGAGAACTAAGAATCCAGTAGTCAGCAATGGGATTTATTTCCCTACAATGTGAGAGCCATGTTCTCCATTTTCAGCTTAAGAACATAGATGCATTGATAAGTTAGAGATAGGCAGATGGGTGTGCAAGTCTCTCAGGCAGGATCTTGGGAGGCAGAGGCAAAAGCATCAGGAGTTGGAGGCAAGCCTTGGCTGCCTAATGAGATCCAGGCCATGTGGCAAACATTGCACACATGTAGCTTGCACACATGTGAGAGCGGGTTTATAAGTGTGGAAGACCCAGACACATCCCCACATGTTCAGTAAGCATAGTGGCCAATTCCTATAATCCCAGAGAGGGCAGAGCAAGAAGACGGCCAGAAATTTGAGATCATTCTGTGCCACATAGTGAGTTTCTGGCCAAACTACACTACAAGTGAGACCTGAAATAAAAAATTAAAACTAAAGAATAAATTCATAAAAGGGTTTAAATGAATGCCTAAATCTGTATGTTCTGAACACGGAACTTCAGTAAGTTAGTAAGGACCTATTAGGCTTTCGGAATGGATCAGCTACAGTGGGTGGTGGAGCAGTTGTCCTAGTCTCATTGCTTTCAGGTAAAGGACACCCGCATACACCCCAGGGCCACCGAAATCCTGTTATCTGACTTGATGATTGTCTGCCAGCACTGAGCTTCCAGGACAGGGTAGCTACTGTTGTAGGTAAGAGCACCAAGGTGACTTGAGGTGATACTTCATTTGTATGTTAATAAATAAAGTTTGCCTGGAGATCAAAGGGAATAGCAAGGCATTTTAAGGTAAACACAGAAGTCAGGCAGTGGTAGAACACGCCCTTAATCCAATCACATGGCAGGAAGGGTCTCTGTGTGTTCAAGGAGACACTAGGGAACAGCCAAGCGTGGTGACACACGCCTTTAATCCCAGTACCAACCACAGAGACCTGGAGGTCTGTACAGACATGCAGTAACAGGAAGTGAGGTAGCTGGGCTAAGAGCCAATGAGAGGGCAGAACAGCAAGGCAATAAAAGCCTGGGTAGACAGGAAGTAGCTCTCTTGGAAGCTACTTGATGAGTTTAAGGTGTGCTGGTGGCTCTCACTATTTCCCTAATTTCTAAGGCTTTCACCCCTATATTTGGCTCTGTGTTTCTTATTTAATAAGACCATTTAGAAATTCGTCTAGAGACTCAGTCATCAGGACGTGTTTCCTTAAATAAGGGGGACAACAGGACTGACATGAGACTATGCTGCCACATTGCTGTCCTTAAACGATGGTGTGGCTATGTCACCCATTGTATTTCATTTCCGTTTGCCCTTTTCTTCTTAGTTTAGACAAACCACCAAACCTGACATTTGCATTGTGGCATTTTCAAAGCCTAGTTTTTGGTGATCTCCTCTCACTAGTGCTGTCCACTAGCCCTGAGTGAAGCCAAGAGGCTTCAAATGCATATGCCTGGCTGGCCTGGAACTTCTCTTCTGCCACATCATTAACATCCCCTCCCAACAGGTAGAGACATTGTCGGTTTGAGAGCTTGCCAGTCGAGAGCATCTCCCACTTGCCAGTTTCAAACACGATCTTACTGTCCCAATAGGCATAGAGCTCTCAGGCTTGCTCTTTGCTTTCATCCAACCTCAACAGCAGGACCCCAACAAGTCCTCTCTTCTGTCCTCCACCTAGAATTTGTCCAGTAAGCTGCAGCTTCACTAGTGTCCCATCAGCCTGTCTCAGCTGGACTTGGAAAGATTCCCACCCCGGCTGTTGGCATCGTCACTTCTAACCCCATCACGAGATATTGAGGTCCCATTGAATTCTTTTTTTTTTTTAAGATTTATTTATTATGTATACAGCATGTATGACTGCAGGTCAGAAGAGGGCACCAGATCTCATTACAGATGGTTTTGAGCCACCATGTGGTTGCTGGGAATTGAACTCATGACCTCTGGAAGAGCAGTCAGTGCTCTTAACCTCTGAGCCATCTCTCCAGCCCCCCCATTGAATTCTTAAACGAGTAATTTAAGGGCGTTATTCTCCTGTTCAAATCCGTAGAATTCTCTGTATGATTGGGCGCATCTATAGAAATATTTCTTTGAACATAATTGAGGAATGGTGCAAAATATCCATGGAAGTGCAGGGATATAGTGAGGGAACTGGCATTCTGTCAGCAGCCACAGCAGCCTAGGCACTGCTTTAAAGGTAATGTGCCCAAACCCTTGCCCTTGACCCACAATGTTTGCTTCATGGAGCAGTGTGAGCGGCTACCACTTTAGACTCATCTTGTGACACCCTGCTTCCCACTTCAAAACCCTCAACCACACTGTCCTTGTACGCCGAATGTGCTCCAACCCCCACACCAGCCCTCCACATTATCCCAGAGGATTCCTAGTCTTCCCATAACTGGCAATGCAAAGGTTGTTACATGCTCGGATATCCTGGGGTGGCTTTGTTTGGTTTGCTTTCTGTGCTACCTGATCCTGAGATAGATCGTAGTTTTGTTCATGCATCAAGACCAAAGCCAAATAAATATTTATTTTTTTTGAGTGTAATATCCGCCACCCCCAAATACTCTGCCTCCCGGATAAAAGGATCCATATGAGTTCACACCTCAGCTCCTAGAGCACCTGTAAGTTCCCCATGAATATCACTTACTGAGCAGTAGACAGAATGTGAGCACCCTCACCAGAAACCTGGTCTGGAGTATAGACTAGAGCTAGTCACACCGCAGGGATGGAGGTGTCAGCAGCCTTCGGCAAAGATGAGCCTTCACATGGCTGCCCACACAAAGACATGGCCTCCCTCCTCCAGTTTCTTGTGGGATAGCTAAATGAGAGCAGTGTGCACTCTGCATCCCTCATTTCCACCCAGCCAAGCCTGCCTCTTCCTCTGTTGGAGGTGGACACATGAGAGACCCTGAAAACACATGGTGTGTCAGGTTGAGTTGTGGAATGGTTATCTTTCTGAAGGACGGGCCCTCATCGGCCTGGTAAGGAGTGCTGCTCTGCAGTAGGGACATAATGCATGTGGAGAGATCCATGCCTTGGGGAAGTGCAAGTTGGTGATTGAGGAGTAACTTGGTTTCCTATGAAACCATTGTCTCCAGGGAAGAACCAGGAAAGGACATGTTGGGTGAGAAAGGTACGCAAAGCGTTCTGAATATCTTGAGAGGAGGGCCTTGATCATCAAGGGGGAAGACATATTCCAGGAAACCATTGTGCTGAAGATGGGCTGTCACCAGGTATCATTAAGCTAACCATGTTCACAGTGATGATGGCTGCTGTTCGTAGTTGGATGAGCAGAGGGAAGTGGAGTGGAAAGGACAATGACCTTGTAGCTGTGACAGGGACCTTCTTCAGTGACTGCATAGAAGAGCAGAAACCAAGTCCAGAGGAGGTGAAAAAGCAGTGGCAAATTTTCTGATGACTTCGATGAACAATGTGGGACTAGTTTCTCTCTCAAAGTCTCTCCCTCACTTCCGTTCCTTCTCCCTCACCCCTCCCTTCTTGACCTCCCTGGCTGTCTTGGAATTTCATGAAGCTCGTGCTCAGGAGGCTGCAAGATTGAATGGCAGCTGACTAGCAGTGCTGCCCAGTGACATTATTTAGTATCTCCTTCCTGGAAGCAGTTTCTTCACTTCCATGCAGTAGGAAGCTTAACTTGATCACCCCCCCCACCCACCCACACACAGGTGAACAAATACGCAGAATGTCTTTCTTCAGTTATCCCCCATGCCTTAACATAGGGAGCCTTCCTGAAGGCTGCCTTCCTCAGCCTCCACAGTCCTCTGTCTTTCAAGTGTGCAGAACATGCAGTCACTTGGGACAGAGCATGGCCAACTCTACCTTGCTGCTATCTGCAGGCAGAGGTGTGACTCCCATGTCCGAATCTATGAGCAACTAAGCAGACTTTGCCCTCTTTCACTGATGCCACCTTTACCCAGATTGTTCAATACCCCTTTGGTTTTACTTCCTGCCTTTCACGGTCCTTGCTTTTCCCTTGGGTGAGGAGACTTCTGTGTAACACAACAGTTTGCAGCTGTCAGCCATGCTCAGGGACGCAGTTTGCATGCCCAAGTGAAAGGACACAAACCCTGGCATTGCAGAGTGCAAGAATGGAGTTTGGCTATGGTCTTCACAGGTCAGTTGATGAGTAGGTGTAGGACGACAGGAGGTAAAGGCAAGACCATATTCAAGCAGTTGAGCGGTAGTTGGCTCTGAGCGCTACATCAGGACATCTGTGGCTGAAACTTAATGGCAGGCAACGTTTATTTGTAGGCTTTTGTCTAAGGTCACATGTTCCTACACAGGAAAGAGCCACCTCAGAGTCAATGAAAGCCCCTTGCCGAGATTCTATCATTCTCATCACAAGGAGGGAATTTGGTTATGATCTCAGTACATGTCATGGAAGTGTTCACACAGGCAACTGAGCAGGTTCTAGGAGAGCATGGCAAGCCAATGATCAGTGGGATGAAAATCAGAGACGGGTGAGGTACTAGGTTTCCAATCCTTGTACGCTCATAAACAATTCTGTCCTATGAATTCATGTAGACACCTCTATGAAGAATGGCGATCACTGTCCATTCATTGCAGTTGAGTTGCCTTTGAGAGAGGGGCGGGGAGTGAGGCAAGAATCGATGTGGTTCACCATATGCTCCCTTGCTCATGAGCTGTCAGGCATGAGAAAGAGTTCCAGCTGCCATCCAGGAATGCTGTTGATGTACCATGCCCTGTGCTAAGCTCTCTGGACATGTATCATCTCGTGTAACCCTCGGAAGAAGCCTGGAAGGTGGCCCCATGTTGAAGATGAGGGACAGACAAAGTGAGATGAATAATCATGGGCTTTCTTTCTTCTCTTCTCACCTCTTGTTACAGTCTGGATTTTCCCGGCTGCACACATTCCTCCTGGCTATCGCCTAGTTATTCCACAAGTCTCCACCTTCACTTTTCCTCCTGGAACCAGGGCTCAGGGTGGCCTCCGGCTCAGACTAGAGCCCCATGGATCCGCTGCAGAAATGGGATCCAATGTCGATTTCCATGCCCTCCTGCATGGCCACTGTGACAAGCTCCCAAGAGGCCTCAGCAGGCTCTCAGCCTTCCTCCTCAGAAAAGCTAAGGATGAGTCTGAGTGGCCTGAGCCTCTGCCGCAGCCCTGGCTCAGTTGCCCCTGCTCCTCTGTCAGAGGGACTGCTCCAGCAACAGGCCTGAGAGAAGAAGGCCCTGTGGCAGCAATACTGGGAAAAGCAGGGCTTTCCTCAGAGGAAGAAAGTCTTCCTGAGACACTCGAGACGCTGGCACCGGGATCACATGGCACCTTACCTGCTTGAAAGGGATGTCAGAGGCTCTCCCTCAGGTGACAGAGCTCAGAATCAGCTCCGGTGCCAGGGCCACGTGCCAAGCATTGCTGGGGTGAGTGGAGACGGGAACAAGGCTCCCAACCCCCCCTCCTGGGAAACGCTGGTACAGGGCCTCAGTGGCCTCACCCTCAGCCTGGGAGCCAACAGACCGAGCCCCCTGCCTGAGGGGCCTGGGGAGCATCAGGAGCCAGAGCAGATGCTCCAGCTGGAGAGGCAGCAGGAAAGCATGAGGATGTTCCAGAGGATGCTCAAGTAGAGGATGGAAGAAGGCCGCGGAGCTGGCTCCCAGAGGATGGAGGTGAAAACGTATTCAGACAGTGTGGCACGGCCAGCTCAGGGGCCCAGACCCTTCTGAGATCAAGGCAGTCAGCTGCCTTTGGATGAGTCCCAACACTTGTGCTATGATGGGAGTTGTCCTAGGAAAGGCTTCAACTTCCCTGCTTATGTCTTTAAGCATGCCTTTGTGGGTATGGTGGTGTGTGTTAGCCGATACAAAAGAAAACTGGGGACCAGGGATCACTGAGCTCCCATGTTGTGATTCACACACAGAGTTTTCACTCATTTTTCTGGGAACTCAATGCCCCCATCTTCCAGTTAAGAAGAACCAACATCGTCTCTGTGTGTATATGTATATATGTATATGTATATATGATGTATATATAAGACATACATATATCTTCTATATGTCTTCTTGATGTCAGTTTATTGAGTGCCCCAGAAAAGGGCTTACAGATATGATGGGATGCATGTTCTGGATAGCAGACACAGATCGACTTGCAGCTTCTAGAAGTTGAAGCAAGGGAATGCAGGCTTAAAGCAGCTAGCTACCGAATGCACTGTATTAGGTAAAAACCCCAGGGTTTGAACCTACACGGAACAAGAGAGGAGTCCCTCCTTAGCCATACCAAATCCTGGATCTCTGCAGGAATTAACTATTGTTCACTCTGCCATAGCAGAGGCTGACTTGAAATTTCAGAACTGTGTCACAACCAACCCCCTTCCTCTTCATCTGCTCAATGAAATCATTTAAAGACATGCAGCCAGGTCAAGAGAGGCATAGTCTCATGTAGATGAGGAGACAAAGAGACGAGAAGCTCAAGTGTGCATGCTGCGGTCAGCATGGACAGTCTGGGGAATGGGCAAGGACTGTACTGAAGGAAGGTTTGGGTGGCATCATTATAGTGCCGGACAGTGGTGTACATATTGTTATCACCAGAAACTGGTGATAAGTGGCAAATGTTCATAAGAACTGTCTTCACGAGTCCCATGTTTTCCAGTAGTGACAGTATAAATAACCATTGCCTGGGTATACACGTATTATGGAGTGGAAGCTGGGGAGGTCAGTTTGCCCTTAAGTTTGCTCTTACAGGTCAAGGGCCAGCAGTGGAAAGTATTCCATAGGTTTGTTAGTGGTAGTATTGGGGATCTGTGCATGCTCTGTGTCTCTTAGCTGCTAAAAGACTCTGATGATTCAAGAGGGCAGATGGGAGGGCAGAATGCACCCCTCGTTGAAATGACAAGAAGACCAGTCTTTGACCTGCCTATATGCCACACAGGTGGGGTGGGCTGGGGCCTTATTCAAATGAGAGAGTTGGCCATTGCTCCAGGTTGCTGCTTAGCAACCACTGTGCAGTGCTCAGTGTATGACTTCTCAATGCTAGAGGGAGCTGGTGGAGTCTCGGAAACACATCCCTGCCAGCCATTTCGGGGTGCCTTGATAGCTCTGAGTGTGAAGGCATCCTGTTAGGATAAATCTTGTCTTCTAGGCGACAAGGGGAGACGGTGAGATGTGTCCCTTGCTGTGCTCTCTGTAGTCCTAACTTCTCACATGCCCCCTGACATGCAGTCAGTGGACAGGGCACCTGTACCTCTGTCTGATCAGTTGTGTCAGGGCGTACAAGTGGGTTTTACCTTCCCCATCATTGAAATGATTTGCTCTTTTCAAGTCTGTAGTGTCCTGTGCTTGTACCAGACGCCATGAAATGCCCTGTTCCAAATGTGAAAACATATTCTCTTCTGTGACCAACTGCCTCCTGTTGTTAATGTGGACTGGAAAGTCATCATGTCATTTTGTCAGAGATTTGGGAAGGTGAAAAAACTGTGTAGTGATCTCCACCCTAATCCAGTAGTCAACTTGTTTGTTCAACACGTTGTGAGTTTCGTAACACATGGTCTAAGCCACACTACTGATATGTGACAAGTTAAATTTCCACTACAGTTAAGTTTTCTTTGTTACTTTACGATATTCCTTCCTTGATACAGCAATGCTTACTTTTGTCCTTTTCAACAGTGGATCTCTTGGTGTAGGTGGTTTCTTCCTGTCACATCTTCCCCTACCCGATTCTTCACCTGCCTGACGGTCTTCCTGACGGCACCTCTTCATGCAGTATGACCACATGCCCCTTGTCAGAATACACACTGGTAAAGTTTCAGAGAGAGATGACAGAGTAGGAGGAGGTCACTGAACCATGTGGCCTAAGGCCCACCTCCCTGGATAGTCAAGTGAGCCACCTCAACCAACAACAGGATCCACTGTGATTCTGTTGGCATGGTGGATGCAGGAACTTTTGGCAGGATGGTCCAGGCTCAGCTGCCAGCTCCAGCGCCCCACCCCCTGGAAACTCCATGCCTTCTATGGATAACAACACTGAAGGCTTGGCCAAGATCTCTGCCCCAGGCATCTTAATGGTCACTGGAGCCATCACCCATGCTCCCTGCTTCCCCTTCCGGGTTGTCTTCTGTTCCGACGAGGTAGTCGCCTTACTTTGTCCTTGGTTGTTTGAGTCCCATTGACGCTCTCACTTGACCATGACTACTGACTCATCATCTTTACCTCCTTTCATTTCATTTCTTAGTCCTGCTCCAGGGGTTGAGCTGTACAATTACATATGTGTGTTGTATGTGAGTGCCTGCAGGAGTCTTTACCTCCTTTCATTTCATTTCTTAGTCCTGCTCCAGGGGTTGAGCTGTACAATTACATATGTGTGTTGTATGTGAGTGCCTGCAGGAGTGTGCAAGTGTGGGCCCTCATGCCTGTGTGGCTGGCGGTCTGAGGTTGACTCTGGGTGTGTTCCTCTATTTCTCTCCATCATGTGTTCTGAGCCAGATCTCTCCCAAGATCTGGGAAGTCACCAGTGTGGCTTGATCAGGTAGACAGTGAGTCCCAGGAATCCTCTTCTTTCTGCCTAGCAGCCCTAGGATTAGGGGTGTTCCTGCCAGGCCTGAGTTTTGAGTGAGTGCTTGGGGATCCTATCTCAGGCTCTCTTGCCTATGAGCCAGACACTTTCCCAGCCACCTGGCTCCCCAGCCCTGAGCTGTACACTTGGAATCAATTGCAATCTACCTTCAAACAACACCAGCTCTTTCCTGAGTCGTAAAGCCCCCAGGCACACTGTGCTCCCACTTCCTGCCTCACAGTCTTTGGTGAGGTGTTTCTTGGATGAGAAGACCAGGATGTGTTCCTCACACTCACAAGACAGCAGGCAGCATCTTCCCGAGCACTTTCCAGTGCCTTAGGTGTGTTGCTGCTGCTCTCAAAACGACAAGCACGTTTCAAAAGCTGGTGCTGCAAGAGAGACTCTAATTATGCCTTGATTGGAGTTGTCATGGTGATGCCATTGGAATACCTTTCATCGTGCAACATCATTTACCTCTATGACTGTGTCGTGCCAACCCCTCCCAGCCCTTTTGAAATAGACAGACATTCCCCCAGTGCCCCATTCTGATTTTCTCTCATGAGAGGTTGGAGATACGTGTTCCTTAAATGTCGTGACTCAGTGTGAGGCCCTGTGAGGACTGTGGACAGGAGGCGGTGGCAGAGGTGTAGGTTGGTAATCTCATCCCGAAACCGCTGTGCCAGAGGAAATCAATAACCTGGGAGAAAAAGAGATTTTTCTGAACGGATGGAGTGTGGGTGGTTGCCTAGGTTACCAGGAGAGAGCCAGGGCTCATGGAGACTGCCACGTGACCAGCCTCATTCTGCAGGACCCCGACCTGAAGCAAGAGTGTGGGGGAGCATGTTCAGTGTTTCAGAGCCTTCTCAACATTAGGAGTTTCCTGAAGGTGCTCTGAGCCTGTTTGTGAGAAGCAGAGTCAGAGAGGACAAGAACAGGGCCTCGGCCACTAGCTACAGGGCCCATTGGATTCTCAGTGAGAGTGTCCAAATGGGGCAGTTCCTTTCCTCCTGCTGGCAACCCAGAGAGGGTCTGTGAACACCTGTGCAGTCCTGGTCCCAGTGCCACAGATGCTCTGCTTTCTGGGCCGACTGCCCTGTTGTGCTGCATGTGCGGGTGCTTTCACAAAAGGGCTAAAATGGAACAAGCTCAGAATCCATGGTCTGGTGGTTGCACAAAGGAATTCTCAAGATTGCAGAAAGAACCTCTCCCTCACCTTCCCCCCTCCATCTCTCCCTCTCTCTCAGTGTCTCTGTTAGGACACAGAAGAGAGGAAATTGTCATACGTTACACACCATATATTCACTCACAGGCTGTAATTCTGAGTTAAATGAGCTTGACTATATGTATACATGTATACTTCATGACCTCACTGTGTGTGGAACCAAAAATGGTCATATCGTTTTCACAATGATAAAATAAGTTGTTCATCATGGTGAGGTGCACGTTGTGATTTTTGCAGAGCTGCATGCCAAGTAAAATCGTTAACACATGTGCCCTGAGACTTGACTTCAAAAGCATGAACAACAGATTCCAAGCAGAATTCCCCCATGGAATTTGAGGATAACAATTCCCATTCATGTTTGTCTCCAAAATCAAGGGGAAAAAAAGAAAATATAACAAATGAGCTGCCATTGCCATATCTCACTGACTCAGGTGGAAGTGAAGACTGGGATGGACAGACACTGTGCAGGTGCCTCTCAAGGAAAGGATCAAAAACATGATGAATGCCCCTAAGGTGCAATGTTTCATCCTGCCTGTCTAGTACCATGGGCCAAATCCCACCACGTTCATATGTCTGATCTACTCAACCTTACAGAAATGCGCTGCATGTGGGTACCATCACAGTTTACATGTGACCCAGTGTGAATATCCAGCTCTGAGGGAAAAGAAGTTGGAACAAGTTTAGAGGACATGAAAGTTAGTGGGATGCAATAGGAGAAGCAGGCATTCTGCCTTCAGTCTCCATTATGTTTTGTTTTTGTTTTGAGCAACACTGTGTAGCTGTAGCTGTCCCAGAACTGTATAAATATCCCAGTGAGGAAGAAAATTCACAGAGATCTCTCTACCTTTGGGTCTTGCATGCTGGGGTTAAAGGTGAGACCTACCACGCCCAGCTCAGTCTCCATTCCTAATGACTACCTTGTCCTTTGAATGGAAACAGTCATGAGTATGTCCAGTCAATGGGTGCTATCCCTACTCTGGTAGTGTGAATGAAAATGATCCCCAGAGAATCATAAGGGGTAGTATTATTGGAGGTGTGGCCTTGTTGGAGTAGGTGTGGCCTTGTTGAAGGAAGTGTGTCACTGGCAGGTGGGCTTTGAGGTCTCAGAAGCTCAAGCCAGGCCTAGTGGCTCACTCACTCTCTTCCTGCTGCCTGTGGATCCAGATGTAGAACTCTCTGCTACCTCTCCAGCACCATGTCTGCCTGCATGCTACCGTGCTTCCCACCATGGTGATAATGGACTAAACCTCTGAAATGTAAGCCAGCCAGAGTTAACGGTTTTCCTTTGTAAGGGTGGCCACTGTCATGATGTCTCTTCATATCAAGAAAACCCTAAGACACCTACAGATGTTAATCTTTACGTGCGACTATCCCCATTTAGAGTGAGGTCTCTTGGTAAGCCCTGTGCCACAGAGCACATGCAACACAGGATGACACATGGAGAACTGAGTACTGTGCAGGTGGGGGTGGTGAGGTGTTGGTAATGACCTGGAAAGAGCATCCTCATGGGCTTACAGATTTGCTTGCGTTCTTGATGGTGGCCCTCAGCATTTCTGTCAATTGCTCTATACTGAGCCTAGTCTAAGGTTTGGCCTCCAGATATGTTGATGCTGGGGGCTGGATGCTGAAATTGCTCAACAAACTTCAGACTTCAATGGATGTCCTTGCTTTGTGGTGTTTGGGTACATAACACAGATGAAATTGTGGGAGGGAGAAGCCTCTCCTTCCTGAAGTCAATGGACAATCTATAGGGCTTCAGGACAATGTAAGCATTAGGAACTAAAAACACGGATACCAGGAGAAAGGACAGAGAAAGAAACTCTGCTTTGAGTACTTCAAAACACCTACCCTGCTGCCTGAACAGGAACCCTTCTAGCAAGACAGTGAATCCCCAAAACCATACACCTTCAGTAATATTAATGGCATTCTGAGCTCCTATACTCACTGTCCAAATTAGACTGCTGCTTGCCTGATTGTCATCTTTTCCTAGCAGCTACTAAGGGGAGTCCTCTGGGAAGAGGTAGGGACACACTCATCTAATAGGCAGGCTTGTTCCCCTAGGTCCACACAACGTGGAACTGAATTCCAAATAGTCTGGAGAACAAAGAAAGACAGCTTTAGAGCAGAGGACCTCAACACCTCTGGTCCTGTCCAGGTCTCTTGCATGTGAGGGACATGGAATGCATTATCTCTTTCAGTTGGTACAATTGAGGGATCCAGGGAGGAAGGTCATATTTTAGAGGGAAGTGCACGTGCATAGGAAGAAGGGGCTCACCAGCAACAGTTCTCGGGTTCTGCCTGCATAACCATTTTGTTCTCTACTGCCTCGGTGCTTGGCTGAGGAAAGGCATTGGGGAGAGCAAGCAACAGTGTCCAAACTGACTTTCTCATGTTCCCAGGCACCTGGGCACCAGAAGATGGTGTCTTTCCTGGGTGTCGTGAACCCAAGTGCTTTCCAGAATATAATTTCCAATTTTTCTGATTGTATTCTTACATTTCAAAAGTGTGTGTGTGTGTGTGTGTGTGTGTGTGTGTGTGTGTGTGTGTGTGTGTGTGTATTCACAGATGTACACGCCATAGCACACATATGTGAATATTAAAGAACAACACGGGGAGTCTGTTCTCTCCTTCTACCACATGGGGTCAAGGAACTCTACTCAGTCAAAAGGCTTGCTCACACAGTGGTTTATCATCTTGCTGTTCCCTGGTCTCAGATTTTCATGTATTCTGTTTCCTAGAATTCTGCTGGTCGGTAAGCATCACAGGAAATCTTTACACTGTGGACTTAAGAAATATGCTGTATCATGCCTTTAATCCCAGCATTCGGGAAGCAGAGGCAGGTGGATCTCTGTGATTTCGAGGCCAGCCTGGTCTGCAGAGTGAGTTCCAGGACAGGCTCCAAAGCTACAGAGAGAAACTCTGTCTCGAACCCCCCCCCCCAACAAAAAGAAATACACTGTGACTGGAAATGTGCTGGCATTATTACCCGCTGGATGAAGAGACTCACTGCTACTGAAACTCCATTTCCGGTAATGAATGACTATACCACATACCTCATTCAAATGTTTATTTTGGCCCCAGTTTGCTGGGCTGAGTGTCCAATCAGCAAAGCTCCAGTTCCTTGTAGGAGGGCATGGGACAGGGTGACAGGACACTCAGTTGAGACAGGAAATGAGAGACAATCTGAGTGGCCATGACCTCCATCAAATACCTTTAAAATTACCTGCTGTGGGATGTTCTGTATGGCAAATGTGTTGCTAATTAGTCAATAAATAAAACACTGATTGGCCATTGGCTAGGCAGGAAGTGTAGGCGGGACAAGGAGGAGAATAAAGCTGGGAAGTGGAAGGCTGAGTCAGAGAGACGCTGCCAGCCACCACGATGAGAAACAGAATGTGAAGATACCGGTAAACCACGAGCCATGTGGCAAGGTATAGATTAATGGAAATGGATTAATTTAAGCTGCAAGAACAGTTAGCAAGAAGCCTGCCACGGCCATACAGTTTGTAACCAGTATAAGTCTCTGTGTTTACTTGGTCGGGTCTGAGTGGCTGTGGGACTGGCGGGTGACAGAGATTTGTCCTGACTGTGGGCCAGGCAGGAAAATTCTAACTACAAATGGCGTCCAACGTGGTGGCAAGAGTTTCCACCTAAAACCTGAGAAAAGATTCTAAAACGGAGCTAAAAACAGTTCCTAATTGTCTCTCTCAAATGAGCGGCAGCTGCTGGTTTGAGCTACTGGTGGGTTCCTAGCGTGCGTGCTCGACCTGCCTATGGAGGGAATGAGGCCTTTGCAAGTGGCACTTTGAGCTGCATGGTGGATTTAGCCTTTGCTGGTGCAGAGCAAAAGGGGAGGTTTCTGGGCTACACGCTGCTTGGCTAAAAGCATAGACCCCCCCCCCCATAGCTCCCAGAGCTGGCGGTAAACCATGGCCATGTTGGGAAGCTGAGGTGGGTGGATCCAGCAGCCACAGCTGCTGCAGTTTAAGGCAATAGATTCACAATAAGACAGATTCAGATGTAATAGTTTACAATGTGTGTAAAAGATACGTAGGCTTGAAAGAGACAAAAAAGATGATATATAGAGTTATAGAAACAAATACATAGTTTTAAAAAATAAAGTCTTTAAAGAGACAGTAAAGGTAGTATAAAAATAAGCCACGTAAAAATGGATATTACACAGAGAATCTGCATTGTGTTGTCTTTGGGACTTTTAACTGTAGAAAAACATTTGATTGTAAAAGCTGTTGAGTTATGCCAAAATGTATATTTTAAAGGTACCTTGACTTCAAAATTTGAATATAAGGATCTGTTGCTTTGGAAAGGAGACTCTGCTTTTGTTCCCACAGAAAGCCAGAGGCTATGGATTTGTTGCAGATTAAGATACATCAGGTTTGACCAGCCAAGACCCCCTGAAAGGTCTCCAATGACACCATGGACCAGATGATCCAACATCCAGAACCGTTTCAAGGCGACTGACTTAAACGATACACCCTCATGGACTACTCCATAATCCTAAAATTTTCTTTGTATCCCCATAAGATACAGCGCCCCCCTCCAGCAGGAATTAGTAAGAGAAGCTACGCCCAAATTCCCAAATTATATGTAATTTTACTTTGTTAAGGTTAAAACCTTCCTTTTTGAAAAAAAAAAGGGGAAGTGCTGTGGGATGTTCTGTATGGCAAATGTGTTGCTAATTAGTCAATAAATAAAACACTGATTGGCCATTGGCTAGGCAGGAAGTGTAGGCGGGACAAGGAGGAGAATAAAGCTGGGAAGTGGAAGGCTGAGTCAGAGAGACGCTGCCAGCTGCCACGATGAGAAACAGAATGTGAAGATACCAGTAAGCCACGAGCCATGTGGCGAGGTATAGATTAATGGAAATGGATTAATTTAAGCTGCAAGAACAGTTAGCAAGAAGCCTGCCACGGCCATACAGTTTGTAACCAGTATAAGTCTCTGTGTTTACTTGGTCGGGTCTGAGTGGCTGTGGGACTGGCGGGTGACAGAGATTTGTCCTGACTGTGGGCCAGGCAGGAAAACTCTAACTACAATTACCGTTACTAGTTCTTTGTGGTTTTCATATAATTTGTTTTCATCATCCCCACACCCTTCCCCCCAACTCGTCCCAGATCCACCCAACCTTCCACATTCACCTAAATCTGAAGACTTTTTTCTTGAAGATCAATGTGTGGTACAAGAATTTTC